TCAATGAAATTTATACCAATTTCGGAAAAATATATATAAATATTTTACTTTGTTTTTTAATAAGAAGTGATTATTTGCGAACTGTTGTATTAAACTGAAAACAGCACTTTTCAAATTTGTTGAATTATTATGGCGATTACTGCTTTTAATCAATAGATTCTACTTGACATTTTAACCTAGAATATACATACATATATTCATTGTGTTTTAGTTTTAATACTGTGCAAATAGTCTTCTTTGCGAACAATGCAGCTAGAAATAAATAAATCGAATTACTTCATTAAATTGATGCATCAGTTTTATTAAAATACAATTGATACATTAAAATATTTTTACAATTTACGTTACCATTTTAAGTTTTATTTTTAATTTAAAATAAACAACTTTTTGAGAAACATGTGTTTCAAAACTTAAATACAGAAATATACAAATATATAAAAAAAATAGGTTCAACTATTTCTATGATACTAATTATATTTTATATTATATATATATTATATGAGACACGCGAAAAAAAAAATGCGTTAAATACTAAAAAACAAAGTACTATTTTTTTTAAAATATTGCTAATATTTTTTGGCTTAAAACTTGACATTAATAATGTTTGAGCTTACCTCTTCATCCAATGTGCTAGGAAACATGCGAGTAGGTAGGTTCTTTTCAAGACTAAAATGATCCTCTGTAGTTTTTCTATACACAGGATTTTCGAAATTGATAGATGTACCTCGTCTACTGAAGTGGCGATATGCAATATACAACAACTATGAAAAAATCATATTAGATTTGAAAAAAATTTTAGATGAAACTTAAACTTAAAAAGTAGTATTTTTAGAAACTTAAATATTGGGAAAAAAAGTAAAGTAATTTTAAAGGATAAAAAATTTCGTATAATTCTTTTAGTCCATCCTTTACAAATCGGACATCTTTTTTACTTTCGATTTCGATGAAATTTTTTTGTGAGCTCCTTTCATAAAATAATAAGACCCGTATTTCGAGAAAAAATTTTAAAATTTTTTTCCTAGGAGATATTAGGAGGGATTTTGAGAACTGCCACAATCCGTCCGATTTGTAAAAGAATAACCCATATACAAAAATCAAAACTGTTTGCTTACCGATCCTACTAACATAGACATGCCTATTAAAGATGCAATTACGATTAATGCTATGTAACCGGAATCAGATTGTTGCGAATGAATGATGGTGGCATCAGTATGTGTTATATTTCCGGCAGGACGCTTATTTACTGTTAACAAAAATATAAAAATTATTTTAAGGTTGTTTTATTTTATAAAGGATTATTTGATGTTAAACTCAGAAAATATAGGCACGATACTATATTCTACACCCAAAAAGCATTGTTATAGAGTTATAATGGTTTAAAACATTAATTACACACAAAATCATACGAATTGTATTACACTATTTATGCAGATTGTTTTTAGCAGATACTATTAAAAGTATTCGTTGTTCATTTTTCATACATTAACAGCATTTTATTATACAAACATTTTGTGCTCTACTATTTTTATAACTAGATGGCTACAGCTACACAAAGAAATATTAGTAATTTTATTGTTAGATCAGTTTAGTTTAAATTTAGATTCGATTAGTTTTTAATATATTTTATTATTACCGATTTTTTGGTTGTATGGTACTCATGTGAGAAATATTTTTAAGAATATAGCAACAAGTTAAATACATAGGATAAAGGAATAATTCTACAATAAAAAAAATTTTAACGGTAAAATTGTTAGTAAATGATGTTACTATCTTCTATGAAGGCTTTTTTTAAAAAATCAAACACAAGTTTTGTTTTCGCAAACTATATAGCCCTATTAAAAACTGTTTTTAAATTTATTATTTATTTTTTTTTATAGGCTAATTGGTCAAAACTTTTTTATTGTTGTTGTTAAAAATAAAAACAAAAATTAAGAATTCACAATTTGATTTTTCAATAATTTTAATTTTTCTTCGATATTTCGACTTTAGGAAACTAAAACATTATATTCAAATACTAAACCACTTATAATACATAATGGTAAACAAAAGGATAAATGTGTGTGTAAATATATATATATATATATATATTTATATATATGTAAATATAAGGAAAAGTACAATATTTTATTATATAATACTAATGTTTAATACTAAGTT